TTGATTCTTTAGTTGACATTGTACCCTTTAGTTCTGGGAACTAAAGTAAGTAATGTAAGTGTTTAGCTAGTATGGCAAATACGTGGGACCTCTTGGGCTTTATTTCTGCATGTGACTCTCCTTCCAGTTCATCTGCATGTTTTACCATGTTGTCTAAAACTGAGATGTTTATATAATATAATGTGCTAAGAACAGAACACTGGAAATAAGACTGCCGCCCAGATTTGCTGCTAATACCAAGGCTTTGTTGTTGTTGATGTTTTGCTGTTTGTTTTGTGACTCTCCTGGACTTATGCAGTACAGTCTTTGTCCGTTGCACTGAAGCAGCCACTGAAGTCTTTGCTTGATTAGTTTAGCATCAGATGAAATTGTCTGGAGAGTCTCCTGAGTAGCTGGAAGCAACATATCCTCCACCCTTCGCCCAGGGGCCCTATGTGCATGCGCGTATTTAAAACTCTCCTTAGCATTCCTCTCCCGCCTGTTGCACCTGCACAGGCAGACCGCCCTGCCCTTGTGACTGGCCTGCAGCATCTCCAGGAATGGGAAAAAACTTTTCAAAGCCCCCTTGGGACTCATTTCTCAGATTTTCCTCTTAACTTTTTGTCCAGGCTTTTGTTTGCCCTAACAGGTAGTGCTGCTGGGGCAGACATGTTAGCAACCATTTGCTGCTGGTATTTTTTAAACCCTGGGGGCTCTGAGTCAGGCCAAGTCATGGCAATGCCCTGGGAATGGAACTGTTCCGGGAGCTGAGGGACGGGTCAGATAGGAACAACTCTCTGGAGGGGGACTGGAAGAGAGGCTTCAGACCCATTCCTCCTCCTCAAAGTGACTAGAGTTGAAGTTGCTGTGGAGTCGGGAGAGGAATGGGACTAGGCCAAGTTTAAAGGCAGGGATCTGACTATTCTCACCACAATGCTGCAGATTTTACAGAAGAAACAAGCCTCAGATTGTTACAAATCTACGATTAATTTTCAGGCTTCTGAAGAAGTTGACTTAGCAGTTTTGTGAGCCTTTTTATTGTTTTTATACAGGTAGAGATCTGTGGAGGTCCTCACTCAACCCTTCCATGGTTCCCCTCACCATGGTCTCTCTCCAGTGGCTCTGTTTTATGGGCACCTGGGGCTGGTTTTGATCCGGTGTAGTAAACACACAGACATGGAAATGTTTGTCACACAGGAAGCAGTTTATACAGTCCCCTGGGAGCAGGAAGCCTAGCACACTGTGTAGGGCCACTTGGGGGAGCAGGAGGGTGAGTCTGGAGACAGGAGGAGAGTGCAAGGCAACAGTCTACACCGATTTGCACGGGAGGGCAAGGTCCCCGCGTTGTTAGGATTAGCTAGTCTGAATGCTTTCAGGGCTCTGGAGCACACTGGCTATTCCCAGTCGGTTGATGCCCAGGCCTGAGGTGTTTGGGGCAGAGCAACAGTGTGATAGCCCAAGAGAGAAGTGGCCCGGGGTGTGGGCCCTGGACTGGAGGTGTGCTTGCAGGGGAGTTGCTCATCTCTCCTGGAAGTGCATGGCCCGAGGATCGGCCCTGCAGGTATCATAGCATCAGACATGTAGACTGAGAACCCAACCCCAACGTAATCTCTCTAGCTGCCAGGACATTGTGGAGAAAGAGAGGTAGGTGGCCACCCCTCTCTGTGTGCTTCACACAGCTTCTTGGGGATCCTTGGGGAGCCCAGGCAGACCCAGGACGTGGAGAGCAGGACTGGGCCTTATGTCCCTTTCCGCGGGGCAGTACGCATCCCCTCTTGAGAGAGCACCCCTTCCCTGTGACTTCCATCGTACGTCTACATCTTATATGCAGAGCCCGGATCACTGGTGAGCCCTGAAACTAATTCCTTTTCCTCTAGAGGTGGGGGTTTAATCCGCCAGGAGACGAAGGAAACTTATTTGTTTTGTCCTTGTAATACAGCAAAAGAAGGGAAAAGAGGGAAGGAAAAAAAAAATACAAACAGTTCAGGTTTTATATAAAATCTTAACATTTGTGTCCCATGACATAGACACACAGTGTTTTGTCTTTTGGATTAGTTGATGATTTCAAAGTTTTAGCACAAGTAAAGTTGTGTCCTCCGAAGAAATCATGGTGTAAAGAAAACAAGCACTTAATAGGAAAGCATCCTTCGTGAACGTAGTGGAAATGGGGTGTAAGTTGAGTTACGCCTGCTGTGTCACACACGTGGGAGAGGAGGGAGTAGAGAACTGTGGATGGCAGCCTGGAGGCAGCCAGTCCACCCAGTGTTAGGTTTGTGGTCTTCTCGGCAACTGTCACCTGAGTCAGGCCTTCAGGATGTACCTGTCCTGAAGGGAGCATCGTTCTGCAGCCAGAAGCACCTGTGTGAGTTCCAGCTCTGCTTCCAGTAAGGAGCAAAGGCGCTCTCAGGGCCAATTTGGTAACTCTGAGCCTCCGTACCAAAGACCATGGGCGACCCAACATGCAACATCTTTAGAGATGCAGCTGCCAGCACATTCTCTGTTTAAACCCAGGAGAAGCTTCTCTCTGATGTATGGCCACGCTCGGGGATTTTCCTGTGTGTTGCTGTGACCTCTCACCGCACACGAGGTCTGCAGCTTTGCGGCTGATGGAGTGGCAGGGAGTAGACCCCGAGTCCAGGTGAGGAAGAGGTGGAATGGCTATCAGACAGTCACTGTGAGCTGACGGTTCAGGCTAGGCTGTTCCAGCTGGGGCCTTTTAGTTCTGATTAAAAAGATCACAGAGGCAAAATACTTAGATCCCTCCTAAGGGGCTCACTGGCTTAAGAACCGTTCTGGTAAAACAAGAAAGATGAACTACACTCCATTTCTGATGAGTGGCCCTGACTCTGGGTGAATGATGAGGCCTGGCTTTGGTCACACAGGGCACTGATTAGATGTTTCATGTGGGAACAGTGCGTGACATATCTAATTACCATCTTCATGCATATTACTCTATGGAAACAACGGCAGACATATTCATGCCTATCGTGAATTTCTTAGCAGAAAATCGGATAAAATATGGAGAATGTTTAAAAAATACATATATCTAAGGCAGAGCAAAATTTATAATTGGTACAATTAATATAATTTTAATTGTGAGAACATAAGAAATATAAGGCAGACTTGTGAACAGTCTGCTCCTCACCGTCACACTGTTTGTGAGCTCCCACACGTACGGCTGTGTTTGGAATGCTCCTACCTCCTCGGTTACTCCCACACCGCAGAGAGGGCCCTTGCCTTAGCCACGAGGTGGTTGTTGGAGGGATTACCAGACCCCAGAAGGGCCAAGTGGAAATGGGACTGAGTGTCTTTTAAACTCATTCTTGCTTCTCATTATGTAAGTTTTCCATCTGGGCATTAGAATTTGGTGGAGACTTTTGGGTGGAGACTGGAACTGAAATAAAAGGATAGCTTGTTGACCAGATAATGATGAAAATCAGATCATTTGAAAAATTGGTATCAAATTTTTAAGATGGGCTTCCTGCCTCCCTCTGAAATGCAAATGCTTATTAAAGTAAGGGGCAAATACATCTTACTCCATGGATATGAAATGTTAATTAAATGATTTTCTGTTATTAGACATATTTTATATTTCCAGGCTTACCCTACTAAAAATGAACACTATGATGCCTAGCCGTGATTATTACTTTCTAAAAGTCCTTTCTTTTTGAGAATATTAATAAAAATATTTCTATTATGAATATGACATTTGTTAAATGTAGAACTTTAGGAAATTTGCCCAGGAATAAAGTGGAAATGAGAAATTGTTCATAACACCACCACTTTTATGATTTGGGTTTTGGCACACCTACTTTCGGAATGCAGGGTATTTATGTAAGATGGGTGAGTTCTTGTGATATTCAACAGGTTTTAAATTATAGATACAAGGTAGGTAAAATTCCTCATAATTGGTAGGCTTCCTTTATTTAAATTTTAGCAAATATTTAAATTATATCCATAAAAGTCATCTCTCTGTATTTCATCTCTCTACCTCCCTATGTCCCTGAAGCCTAGTTAAATTTTATTTTAGATGTGGTTTATAGTGTTTGGAAGGACAAGCGCCCTGAATAGAAAGCAGATACACATTAAATAACAAAGGCCTGCTTATGAAGGTCCTGCAAGGGGTTCTAAGATTCCCTGGGCAAAGGTAGGTAATAGGAACCCTCAGAACCTGTCTGACCAGGCCCAGGGTTTCCCACGGGCCCCCAGGGGCCCACAGCCCCTGAGGTTTTCCCATGGCCCGTACCCCTGGCTCAGGGTAACCCCAGTAACAGCTGGAGGTAATTGGCTATCACTCCTCTCTGCAGATCAAACGATGCTCGTGCTCCTCTTCCCTTCAGCAAAATGGCCATAAAGGGAAATTGGGCCTAACTTATCTACTAGGAATTTTGAAAGTAAATAATGAAGAAGCTAAGGGAAAATTAATAGATCCAATTAATTTGAACCTACAAAATAAAATCTAACAGTTTCACAACAATGGCAAATGAGCCATTTCGGGGTGGGGAAGTGGGCTGTGCTATTTGGTGCTCTTAAGGATATTTTATTAGCACAAAAAAATCTTTTTGGAATAAATAAATAGACCTATTCCCGAATGGTTCAGCACTGCACTAGTCAGCTTTTCATACCTTTAACCAAACACGGCTTAGAGAAAAACAACATAGAGGAGAGAAGGCTTATTTTGGTCCATGGTTTCACGAGGCTTCCACCCGTGGCCAGCTGGTGCAGCCTCCGCAGGCGAGGGGAGGCGAACCCCGCAGCGGGAGGACGAGGCGAGGAAAGGGCTTCACCCCAGGCGGTAGGACGCAGAGAGGAGGGGGAAGGCAGGAGCAGACCCACACAGCCCCCAGGGTCGCACTCGGGACCTCTTCTGCACCTCCTGATAATGCCATCAACTCGGTCGCATCCACAAGCCGTCCCCGTCGCTGGCGCCCCCCTGAGCTTCGCTGCCTGAGTCTTTGAGGGGCGCTACATCTTGAAACCATAACAAGCAGTGACAGCGATCTCATTTTAAATTTTACAAGGTTCGAGGTGGAGGAGAACTTCCCGGAACACCCCGCTCGGAGTTGTACGTCAGGCTCTGGGCAACCAGCGGGCTGAGCCAAGGGAAACCGTGGGAAGATCGCTGCAGCGGAAAGACCGCACCGCAAGAGCCCGGTGGCTACGAACCCGAGGACTGGGGAGCGGAGGGCTGAAAGGGGCTCGCTGGGTCCCCATGGACGATGGCTGGCGTCTTTACTGTGCATCCTGTCAAATGCTTCCGCGCGTGGTTTTCAGATCGTTGTCCAACGCTCCAAAAGTACACCCGCGATTTCCATGTGGAGAAACCGACATTTGGAAAGCGTGATGTCCCTGGAATCAGAGAGCTGGTGGAGGCAGAGAAACCCTTGACAGTCTCCAGGTGCAAGGCCCAGTTGTAATCCAAGAAGAACTGGACGCAGAGCTGCAGGCTCCCTGGCTTTGCTCTGGCCTCACGCTTACCGCAACAGACATTGCTAATGCGGTTTTTAGACATAATTGGAAATGATATTAGGAAATAAATACCAAAATATTAACGTGTCCCGGGGACGCGGTACGATTGTAATAAAGTAGTCTCCCTTCTTGTGTGTGTGGGAGGGTACGTTTGTGACAGAAAAATTAGTACAGATTTCTTTTTCCTCCAATTGTTTCAGCCCAACCAATTCCCTTGCTTAAGCCCGAATTTTTTTTTCTTTTTGCTGACAGTAAGACTAGAATAAATCACCTCCCCATGACTGGAACGTAGCTTCTGGTAAAGTACCTCATATCACATGTACTCATCATCTTAGGGACTTTGGAAAATTGCTCCTTAAACCCAGGGTGCTGAAATACTCTTGTGTACGTCTTACAAACATTTACTTTGAGTCTGAGGCAAAGTCAAGTTGTTCCTGAGGATTCTTGTTAGGTTTTTTTTCCCCTTTTTTTCATTGTCAGGAGATGTTTCTGATGCTGGCCTTTCGTGTTGTTTTTCTTCTAGTGTTACACGTTTTCCACTCTATTTCTTTTTCTTTCTCACCTCAAAGTTCTCCTAATTGAAAGGTGCCAAAGCAATAGAAATGTGGTACCTCAGTGAATTACTGTCAGACACTGGCCTTTGGACCAGCTAGAATTTGTCATGAAAGGAGGCAGTGTATGTTGGTGGAAGTTTGAGAGGGGGAGAATCATAAGAAATTTCACACTGGAAAAGATACTTCCAGCGAAAATTGAAAAGTTTTTAAATTGGGGAATACATCTATTCACAACTAAACCCTGCATGCAATATTCCAAATGAATGAAGTAAAATATATCTGGGACCCCAGAGATTTGAGGTCATAGGTAACGCTGTAGGCTTCAAGAGTTGATTTTGAGGCAGATTTTTAAATTGTTTATTATGGAGTTTCTACAAAGATGAGGAAATTTGTGCTGAACAGTTGGATCTGTCTGTGACGAGGAGAAAACTAGATTGACGGGCGTGGCCACCCAGGTCTGTCTAGAGGGAGGTCTTGAGGAGCTCTAACTATTCCTTACTTTCACTTGATGTTTATTAATAGCTTGAATACCTCCAGAAGTAGCTTGTTTATCAATTCGGTCAAATGACCGTGGAGAGAGCGATACCAGCATACTGACTGACAGACTCCAAAAGGAGTTTGACACCTTGGGTCTTAAATTTAAACCCAGCAAGACTGGCCCTACTTATGTGGCTTCTAGGCTAGGTTAATGTTCAACTTCACAAGCTCAAGGTGGGGAAACCATGGCTTTTGAAAAGGCAAAAGGAACTCTTAGCATTTGATCAACACGAGACAGAAATGTGGGAAAATTGCCCACAGTTACATAGGTGTTGGCCATCAGGCAGACCAGCAGAGACCAAAAGCCGGCGAAAGATGGCAGCCTTTGGCTGCAGCCCACGTGTGCTTGTTGAGGACCAAGAAGACACTTGCAGGACGGACGGGGCTCAGTTGAGTCAGGATGGGAAGCCACACCCTCTGAAGATGGCCTGGGCAGACAAGGCTGCCTAGGAAAGAATGAGAATCCCGTATGCAATGGAGGATGTGTTTATCCTCAGAAATGTAGCCTCCTCATTAGGGAGGAAACTTTAGTAACCCTCCTTTGTTAGAATCTCCACATGACCCTGATGATTAGACAAATTATTTTTTAAATTTACATTATATGAATTCCAGACTGGCTCCCCACTCATTTTGTGCTCCTAATTTTTGTTTTACTTTCTCATGTATGTGTATGTGTATTTACAATCACAGAAAACAGTTCCCTCAGCAGCAAGGCACATGTATGAGTACGACAGAGGTCACCGAAGGTTAAATGGCCTAGTGATATCATAGCCGGCTTAGCTTGTATAAGTGTACTATGATGCCCACACAATGACAAAACTGCCTGACAGCATCTCTCAGGTTATGTCCTGTCTTTAAGTGATGCCCAGATATACAGTACAAATGTGTATTATGTGTTCTTTAAATGTGCCTTAAAATTGATCCATCTTCATGGAGAGGAATAGGATGTAAAAACAATTAAGGTGTGTTATGTACCTGTACCAACTCTTCACAATGAATGACATCATTATGCACTGAAAATACGTACTAATAATAACTTTAAAACAAGAAAATAAGAAATGAATCCTCAAATATACAGTTGAATGCCGAGTTAGGTATTTCAGAGTACCCCTACTTCTCTTCAAGTCCCCGCCCAGCCTCAGACCCTAACCCCCCCCCAACTTCAGGAAATGCAGTCCTACAGCTCCCAGCCTCACAGGCTCAGAAAACATCTGGAGGAACCTGGGGCACAGACATTTCTGAAACACTTCCTGATGAAACGCTTCCCAAGTTTGACAGCCTCTCTGACACAGAGGTCAGACCAGGTCAGTGGTGGGGAAACTTTGGCACGAGTGCTATTTGTTTTTCTTTTCAGACAAAAGATGTTAATGTGTGAGTTGTTTTTTCTAAACTGAAACCTCAGTGTTCAGGTTTAATTGCAGTGCTGGTGCTTTGAGAGAAGTAAGAGGGTTATGGTTGCAGTTTGGGTGCTCAGTCTCTAGAAGGTTCACTGTCGCTGGGCTGGAGATAAGATGGGATCCAGCCTCATGCTGACACCAGAAGGACAGAGGCTGCCTCAATAGATGGGCAAGCTTTACCACAGGGGCTGCCAGAGGAGAAACGACGCAGGTAGAAAGCACAGCTGCGAAGGAGATCCGGAGCTAGGTACAGTTCTAGCTCTTCAGGTCTCAGGTGTCCACACACCCTGCACACCCCTGCTTATGACCTAGCTCCGGGAACTCTGACCGTCATGTGTGCCCCTTCATCTGCTCTTGGACTTCACGTGTGTCACCTGCATTGCTGCTGATGGGAGCCAGAGACCCTGGCAATGAGGAGATGCTGTGTGCACGGTCACTCTTAGTGTCCAGCGCTTTGAGAAGCCTTCCCGGCAGGCCCATTAATCTGCTCTTATTTTGATAATCACTGTTCTTTCATCTGAGTGGTTATTTTAAAATGGGAAAGAAACCTAAATTAGTATTATACATTTTAAGACATACATTTGCATCTATCATAAACTTTAATTTATACTTTGGCTAAATAATTTTAATGGTTGCTATAAAATCAGTTATTTAATAATAGTTTTTACAACCATATTGAATGCAGCAGGAGGCAGACTTAATAGCCTCATGTCCACAACAAATTTCCAGCTATTATTCAAACACCCCACAAGCCTTTGACAACTCCACAGACCACTCAAGTTCCTACTGATTGCATTATTTGAGTCTTGCTAAAGACTAGTTCACCATTTGCGCCCAGTAGCTTTTTATTGAATACATCTGTTTCTCCAACTGCAATTTTCCTTTGCTTTCTCAGATTTACATCATTATAAAAACTAGTTATTTTCAATAGAATAATTTCCATAATCATATATGTGCCCCTTCATGGGACATCTGCGAGTCAGTTCTAAAGCACAAAGAGGAAAATGTGACTAAATGAAATACTTCTAACATTTGTAGTAGTGGTAGTAAACATAAGAGAAGATTTTAAGGGAGGAAAAAGCATACTTTAGATGTACATTAGGACAGCTAAGTGAAAAAATTTAAATTGGGCAATTTGTGAGACAATGTAAAATAAAATGTATAAAAGGATATCTTACTCTCTATTTAATGCAACCAGCTTTTAAGAATTATGTTTATGTTCTTAAAAGTACGAACCCAGTGTCACTGAGTTATCTAAATTTGGATAACTTTGATTGTCCGATTTGACAAATTTAAATTATTGAATTCAATTTTATAGTTGTGTCTTCTGGGCAGTGCTTTGGAAATGAAAATGGGCTATAATTTGTGTGTGAGTAAATGTAACTCTGGTGTTTTCAGGGGTTTGCAGTGCTGGGATTGAACCCAAGGCCTCATGCATGCTAGGCAGGTGCTCTACTTCTGAGCTACGTCCCCAGTGCTTCAGAAATGATTTGCACCTTATTGAACTCGGATCGTTGGTTTAGCAGGCGTCCACCCTCAACAAATAAAGTGGTTTTAAACCTTTGAAAACTTGCAAAGCCTCAAAATAGTGTGTGGAAGTTAGTGAAAAACAACCAAAGAAGGACAAGTAAAGGATATTCATTCAGAGCCTGCCACTGCAAGGGAAGCAGCTACCATCACTTCTCTTTGGTCAAACACAGGTGGAGGAGTGGGAAAGCTGTGTGTCAGGGAAAAGAATGGCTTCCGGGCTGTCCTGGTCGGCAGCTGTTGGCACGGGAGGCTGTGGTGGGTGAGGAGGAGCAGGGCGCCCTATATGATTGGTTAAGGGGTAGATTTGGCTCTTTCTGATGGTCCTATGTTGGAAGCGAGACAAAAATTAGGGAATTTGTCATTTAATATTCAAGTTCTCACCTTGGGGAGCCAAATGTTACAGATATAATTGTTTGATTTCCTCTACCAGTTGTTAGAAGGTATAGCCTGGGCTCCTACAAGTCGCGCCTAGTAGACTGCTGACTACTGATGGTGGTCTGGCTACCTTCCACTGGTTGTTACAGGCTGTGGGCCGGGGATCTCTTTTTATATATATTCTGGCCACATCTGCAGATTTAGTACTCTCCATATTTCAAAATGGCACAAGTTGCATACTCTAATAAACAAGAAAAAATTTAGAGGCAAGAAGCTATAACTGTTTTCCTTGTGCCAAAATTTTACTTTGGCAATTTCATTGACTTTTTAAGAAATTCAGTTGTACTGAAGTTATAGATATAGAAAATTTCTCATAATGAATGTACCACCTACAACCTAAACACAAACACACACACACACACACACACACACACACACACACACACACACACACAGAGGCATTGCCCATTCTTGGAATCCCTTTCAACTGTCTTGGCCATTTCTCCATAACGACCATGTTTACCATGTTTATTCTGTCACTCTAGGAGTTTTCCACTGGCTCCCCTTTTGGAAGACAAGAGTTCCATTCTTTTTCTTCCCACCCTTCTAACCCT